AAAACTTGAGCACTGTTCTAGTTTGTCTTAATTTCATTTCATCGCACTTTGTTATCAGTAGCGAGTAAAGACCCACTCGACTTAAGAATGTCATTTTTTCCTTGGAAAGTGATTTATTCGCTCGGGGCAATGGCGGATTATTTCGGCTTTGGATTTATTCGGAAGCTCGAGAGCGAAGTCGGGCAGGATCGGAGTTGTGGAAAATCCGAATTTCGAAAGAAACGCCAACTCGAAAGAGCCCTTTGGGATTCGTCGGCTGCTTTGAGCCTTTCTGCTCTTTATGCTCTTTCCGTACGCTCTTCACCCGGGCTTGATGCCGATTAATTAGTCTCTCGACTCTGAAATCACGTAGGAGCCAGTGCACGTCCTGCAGTATGTTATATTTTACCCGGGCTTTTATTATTACTTCGTTACCCGATTATCGCGGATCGGGAGGCGCGGCTTTCGCGGGATTCCGCGCATTCCGAGAGGCTTCCGGGAGTTATTGAACTCTCGAAGCGAGATGAGTGTGCTAAGTCATATGTGTACAGGGATTACAAACGCGGGCCTCGACGAAGATCCCGTTTTAAAATAGGAGGAGATCCGAGTCCCAGGAGGAACCCCGAGCTGCGAGAAACGAGAGCTCGGGGCTCTCGTTAACCGTGCAGCGATCCAATTCCGAGTCCGCGACTCTTTAATCCTTAACTAACTTCGTCAAATTGTGAGCCATAAGGTTTACGCGTATCACGTGGTCCATTGGACCTCGCAACATCGATTAAAGGTTAAGGTGATGCGAAAGTGGCATCAAACATCCCCTTAACTCGTTCGCTCCCAGTCGTCACATACGTGCGACACATCGTTTCGTTATCCCTATGATCCTGGGAGCAAACGGGTTAAGGAAATGGGAAAGTGACATCCGAGAGGTCGATCGTTCATGACACTTTTCTGCAAACTGGGTGTCCTAATTCGTTTGACACTTTCCCACGTGAACGTGGAAGCTCTAAGGAAGGTCCCGACACCCATAGAATTTAATTTCCACAAAAAATGTAAAATGTATCTTAACAAATTTTATAAAACGTTAAATTGTACGAGTGTTAGGACACCCAGTTAGGAGGAAACTGTTTACGAATGAAATCCGTCAGACGCCACTTCCATATCACCATAAGTAGCACCTAAGAAATTAATTGCTTATGAAAATTGTATCACTTTGTAGGCTCTAAGACTAAAAAACCGCGTTTTGTAAAGTCTGCCAGGACAAGAAGATAAAATATTGTAAATAAAAAGTGGGTAAATCGAGGGAGGAAGGTAATGACACTTTGGTAACACCTTAAAGCGGGGAACTCAGCGATCGGAGTTGAATTCGGCTCCGATAGGCCTAATCAAAGGCCGCGATCGCGTCGAACCCTCGACGAATCCAAAGGACGACTTAACGTCGAGCTCTCGCAAAGTGCTTGGCACGATTTCTAGAGAGCTGCATGGCACTCGTCCACGACTCCTCTCGCGTGGCGTGAGTGAACCTCACGCACCACTCGAGAACTTGGGCAATTCTTGGCCAGCCATTTCTGCCAACCCCCCTAGAGGCCTACGAATTACGATGGATTCCACTTAAGGTGGAGCGAAACCCGCTTCAAGCCAGTCGATTCGAATAAGACATTTTTTTAAGGCCACATAGCATTCTAAATGGTACGACGGTCTTGAAACTTCCCTTTCTCATGTAAACGCCTTCAAAAGTCGTACATTGATAAGCATATGAGAGCACGGCGCCATTTTGGTACTGGTCCAGGTTAAGTGAAACAGGTTTCTTCGTTGAAAATTCAAATTATCAGACTGTCAGGACTTTCCTTAGGTGCTCACGAGTCACGTGCTACGATTTCAGCCAGTTCGGTGGAATACCGTTGAAAAGAAGTGTCTTATTCGAGTCGTCGGACTTGAAACGGATTTCATATCGCCTTAAGGTGACGCGCCAGTGGCAAAGAAGTCTCGTTTATTAAACTTTCCTACAAACTGGGTATACCGAATCGTTTAAAATTTTACAACGTGAATGTGGAGGCTTTAAGGAAGATCTTGACATGCAATTTAAATTCTTTTTAATTTGTTCATAGGTATTGTTAACATTTTTTATAAAAAATGAAATTTCACGAGCGTCGGGACCTTCTTTAGGGTCTCCATATTTATGTGGTAAAGTTTAAAACGATTCGGTGCATCCAGTTCGGAGAAAAGTTTCATAAACGACCCACGTCCCCTTAAACGCCTCGCCTGGCATTGGTCGACGCGTCGCGAGTTTTGCGCGCTGTGTTTCGCGTCGTGACGAATAATGCCGACCAATTGAACGATGCATTCTGATTTACGCCGATCACGGACACTCGCATGTATTTCTAGAGCGCGTACGGGACATAAACTAGAGCTTGCGTGCTCTAGTTTCGAGCCAAGCCGGGACTAATTGGTATCGTCTGCCTTGGCGAGACTCCTTCGCCGTAATCGAGAGAGGTTTTCACCGTGGGATTCCGGAAATGCTTGCGGGTTTTCAGGAGTGCTGCATTTTCCCATCGGTCGCGATTCTTCGTAGAAAGTGCCAAATAACAAGACACGTTATGCGCGTTATACGAAAAAAATTCCCGGACAGGACGATTCCCAATTACGCGAACCCATATAGCGCGTAACGTATCAATAGCGTCGTACGGGAGTCTACGTTTCGAGGAGATGCCTTTACCAGGGTATGACAAGAATCCCAAGGAGTAAACTCGATGTCCTCTCCCCCGCCCGGGTTGCGCCCCGTTCCTCCGGAAAACTCGAGTCAAAATAAAGCAGGTTCGAGTCGAACGGTTCGACCGGTCGCCCGCAAAAATAAAATCGAGGCCATCAAGGGAGGGGTCCGAAAGAGCCCCGAAGAGGCTCTCGAACCGGCGGGATCGATCCGGGCACGTCCTCCGCTTCCTGGGGTCCGTCTCGAGGCGCGCGCTCTGGCGGTCCGAAAATAAGCGGCAACGTCGCGCCGAGTTTCCAGGAAGCGCGGCGCGACCTCCCCGGAGTCGGGGGACGCCGCCGCCCGAGAAGGTTCTCGAAGTCGGCGGAGTCTCGAGGGGCGCCGCGGGCCGACGACGCGTCGACCTCGATTCCGCGTCGAAGAGGGAGGAGCGAGCGCGCGCGAGAGAGAGAGGACAGCCGGCAACGCCGCGCGCTCACTTACCACATCTTACGGCGGGCAGGGTGTATCACGTGAGCCGGGCGGATCCGCGAACCATGGTCGCCGACCGGAGGGCGGGGGGCGGGCCGATCGGCCGATGCGACCCTCTTCGGCTCCCCTCGGCTCCCCTCGGCACGATCGGCACGAGGCGCACTCGCGAGGGCTCGTCCCGTCGGCACTGGGCTGCTCACTCGACCATTATTAATAGCGCGCCCGGGTTCGACTGTCGCGCGGGGCTCCTGGAGCGAGGTCGACCGGTCGACTCGCCGAGGATCGATCCCCTCTGGGCGCGCACTGGCCGATCGGCGGCCGCTGACTTCCGGGCGTGGACGCGGCGACTGACGGGACGTCCCGGCGGCGCCGGGATTGGACTCGGCTCGCTCGGCTCGCTCGGCTCCCTGCCTGGCCCGTACTCCGCGCCGTCGGCGGAGCCCCCGGCCGCCGGCGCGACGCCAGCGACGCCACCGCCGCCTGGCGACGACGAGCGGCCCTGGCGCCACCCCCTGTCGCCGCGCGCCGATAACGAGGGGCGACGCCATCCGGCTCATCGGCAAACGACGGACCTACCTCTCCCCGCGATGTCGCTGGACTCGTTATCGCCCTTATTGCGACCCGCGTGCCGCCATATTTCATTATTTCTTATGCGCGCCGGTAAAACCGAATTTTTTAACTCTATGTTCATCCACTCGGGAAACGGACCGTTGGCAATAAAGGCGAAATTCGTCCTCTGGAGACTTGGAACGGTGCTTGACATTTTCCACGTTCCTGCGATTCCTTTGGATGTTCTAACGTCATTACGTTCGTCGTTGTGGTTACGGAAGTTTCCCCGATGGGCGGTTTTTGTATCGTTTTTGTATAATTGTCGGAGAAGGGAGATCGTTTACGGTACCAAGGGGACGCTTCTTCGGGGTGGGTGTTCTGTGGGCAAGTTAGGCGGTAATCGGAAGCGGGAATGCGCCAGCCATCAAAATTGACAGCGTCGAGGGTGGAGAGGTCGACCCGATCGAGCAAGAGATAAGCCCCTAGGACCTTCTGCTGCAGGAAGGGATGCATGGCAAGTTTGCGGCTCTGGGGAACTATCGGAACCGTAATTACCCGATCGAGTTGCTCTCGGGGTCTTTGAGAGGGGAAAAGACCGACCGACCGAAGACTCGCGATTATTTAAGAAAGTATTTTCCGACGACGGATTAAAACAGGACCCCATATTAAAGCAAATTAAACCAAAAAGATGGACATACGTTACGAAATCGAGTAAGCATTCTTCGGTTCATCAAAGAATTTTAATTAAGATTAACGGGATAATGTGAGAAAAATTATGTATCGTAGTTTTACGTTTATTTTCTAGATATTCCACTCAAATTGTAAACGGATTCGAAGATCGAATGAAGCAGCCCAAACCCGCCAGTGATATTTATCCGTTAGGCGTCAATCATTGATACCGATCAAACTATGCGTATCGGTGAAGGTAAGATTACCAATTACAGGATATCAATTGATTTGACTTCACTTATCGTGTGCTGAGTGGTTACCGATTGCGTTACACTTACCGGTAACAGTGAACGTGCCATTCGTTGATGAGCAATTAGAGTATCAATTTTTCGATGACAAATCTTGAGCTGCGAGTTGATCGAAATTATTGGCGATTCAACGTTCTAATGTTCTGATCATGTAATCGGAATATTAGAAGATTGCAATCTCTGAATTGGCCACTACTGAGGGGGATTCAGGAGGCAAGTTCACGAGCCGCCCGCATTTTCCACCGAGGGCAGCACGGAACGCGATCGAGCGACCCAGCTCATGAGCAATCTCTCAATTCATCTCTGCTCGTGCACACAGATTTCCAATTACCTTTGGTCTCACACGTGTGTCACATGTGTATCAATATTGATAGTCCATCCGTGTTATTTATAAATTATCACAAGCATGATTTACCATGGTACGTACCTCTGACATGTCTGTTAAGTAAAACTTAGAACAAAACGGTACATAATTTGATAAGAGAGCATAAACCGATAGGGTCCAATCAGATCGTTGTTTTTGGTTATCTTATATACGTTATTACACGTTTCCATATATATAATATTTTTGCTGAACTTGTCATTTTGAGATACTTGATATTTTACTTTGTTATCTTATATACGTTACGGTATATACGTTTTGTTATCTTATATACGTTATTACACGTTTACATATATTTTTGCTGAACTTGTAATTTTGAGATAGTTGACATTTTACTTTGTGTTGGTCAGACTTACTCATTTTTTCACTGTTTGTAATGAATTTGGATCGTTCTTAGTGTGTGTGCTTATTTTTTTGCAGACTTGCTTGTCGAACGCATACATTGGATGCTGTAAAACTTCACCCTTTCGCAACTTCTAAACGACGCGATTCGAAAGGGTTATGCTGATCGTAAGAGTGCTTTGTGAAGCTGACAATGTGAATTAAACCAACGATGTGACCCAGCGTGAACTTTGGCTTTGAGAGATAAGGGCACTTTGAATTTTATCTTGCATTATAACGATGCAGACTTTCGTTTGAAAGCACAGTGCGGAAAACGTCAGTAGTTGCTTTAATTGAAGTAACTCCAAGTGTCGGATGGAAAATGATGTACTTAAAAATTGTTTAACATAAATGACATCATGGAGGTTACCTCTGAAAATGAGGTAGATCGTTGCGATGAATTAGATGTAATAAAGCTATTTACTTTTATTGATTTCCATATAATGCAATTGGAATTAAGTCATAATTGGGTAATTTAGTGATATAACAAAGAACAAAATAATCGATATAACTTAATATTATTTCATGTAGGAAAAGGAACTATTAGAAGCTGATGTAATTTATTTGTTGATGAAGAAGGGTTTTCCCATATCTCGAAATGTGAGAGCCCAGTGGATGCTCGAACATTTGGATACGATTGTAACGATACAACATCCATCGATTGAAAATGAGGAAACACCAGAACTTGAAATCGCTTCGATTATACCAAAAGATTATTCATCCTCTTGGAGTCCAAAAAATAATTACCAGTACAATTATAAAGTTACCTCTTCGACAACGATAATATTTCTTGCATATAAGTACAGAATGGTTTTTAGCCTGGATATGGGTCCATCTTTAGCTACTATTGTAAGATACTTTAATTAACCATTACAACCTGATGTATCGATTTGTTAAGACTGTCTAAATAAATATTTTACTCTACGTTGGTAGGACATTCAACATGGGGAAGTTGTAATAGATGAAGTGTACCTGTCCATCAAAAGATGCCTCAAAAGTATAACAAGGCCAGTAGGTATCGCATTAAGTAACTTTATGATAAAATAGTTTACTTATAGTAAAATGATATTAGAAGTAATTTGTCATCTTTCTCATATAGTTCACGATACCAGGAAGTGATAGAATAATGCAACCAGAAATTTATGTGACTGTGATAGCTCACACTCCATTTTTTACTAACCCAGCTCAACAAGTACTTGTACAAGGATGGTTAGTCACTGCTGATAATGTTGCTTATCTATTGCAATTTATTGAACAACAATTGAGTTGCTTAGAAGAAAAAGTAGCACTGGCAACAAATATTGCAAATCAGCAGTTAGAAACATTGAGAGCGGAAAGCGAGCAATTAGTTGGAGGATTGTTCGAGGAAGGTGGAACCTGTTTTGGTACAAATAATAGCAGCTCAATAGCTAACATCTGTATGGTGTCTCCTGAATCCAGTTTTGTTAATATGTTGCGATATGGAATGTTGGCTCTCGCTCTTCTACCGGAGCACAGCTGTGCTCGTAAGTATTTATACATACCTTTAAATAAATTGTACTTGTCTTGTTTTTTTAAACCTATACCGAAGTATTTATTGGAATCTACAAAACTTGAAGCCATAAAACGAAATATTAATATAACTTGTCCTTTGCAGATTTAGTAGTGATAACCGATGGTATAGTAGGAGTTGCAGATGTCCACGTTCTAGACTCTGTTGTGCAACAATTACGAGCAACAACAGTAGCATGTAGTTTTCTTCATGTAGGCAGTACTTATCATCCACATTGTGCAGAAGGATTGGTACCATATCAGGACTTATTACGTTTCCTAGCAGCAGCGACTTTGGGTAGTTACATGACCTATGTTTCACGAGATGTACGTTGCATCATCATTTCATATTTATTAATATTGTCACTGTTATGTAATAATACTTATGTTTATTAGATAACAGCTTGTGGAACAGAGATGAACATTTACCACAAAAGTTTCCTGTGTTGGCAACTGTATCGTTCAGAATCTAATGATTCATTAAACACTGAAGAATTCACTCATGAATGGATATCGGAGAATTTTTTATTCCAAGGACACCAGACTCCATATCTTCTGCGAAAGAAACAAGTCGATGACAAAGTTACTTGTACCTTAAGTAATTTGTTATGCTGTCGCCTGAGAGAGGGCTATCTTATAAAGAAAGCTTCATTACGTGAAGGATCTCTTGAACTATGCTTTGTCTTGTACTGGATGTCCCACGTTTTCTTGGAATATTTGGTGTCTTGTCCTTGGCCTTTAAAATCACTAGCAGCATCTACAATAATTCAGTACGTCGTGACTATTGAAGGTTAGTTTGATTATACATTAAACTTTTGATACTGAAATATTGTCCGAAATAATATGCCGAAACAATTTATTGTTAAAATCATATTACAGCACCATATGAATTTTTACACGATATAACTTGTTTATCCAAGAAGCCACTAAAGTCACAGTATCGACAGGGTGTAGTGTCTCGATTCTGGGCTGCTCTGTCATCATTAACTGAGAGTGATAACATGTTAGCACATTTTAGTTGGTTTCCTGGTTCAGGATGGTCTTGGTATAGTGTACCTGATACTGTCAGAAATGGCATGCCTGTCTTTTATTTGCCAACATATCCATCGGCTCACACAGTGCAACTTAGGTACTAGTATAGTCCACAGTGTTTTTTACAGAGGGAATTGATTTGTGGAATAATGAAATTCTTAAATAATAATTTAAACCATTTGATATCACAACTCTAACATGGTAACAATGATTTCAGTGACGCAGCCTGTCCTCAATTTGGACAAATATGGCAACCTGTTGTTTCAATGGATCCACATCAGTGGGCTCGATGGATGCATACTCAAAGAATTACATTAATATTATCTCACGATAAGCCTTTACCAAGGCATTTGCATCGAGCTAATCAGAGTGGTCGTTTTCAATGCATTCAGTGTCGACAGGCAGCAGCAGCATTATATGCAATGTTGAAAAATTGGGCAACATTTGTGCTGGTAGAAAATCACACTTACGTGCAATTCATTTATAGAGAAGTTGACAAACCCCCAGTCTCCTTTTCGCTTATTCGGATTAACTGTAAGGCTCTCTGTGTCGTACTCCATATTGCATTCGCTGGAGGTACCGAAGGTGCAGTACGGCACAATGTGGTCATAGACCTTTTGGAGAGGTTATCGAAATTGACCTTACCCAGCAGACCAACGGAACAAAGAGAAACACCGTGTTGCATAATTGTCCATAAAGCTTTGGAGAAAGTTCTAATCAGATATGAACGTATGCCAAATGACTTGAGCACCGTAGTCTTTCCCGATGGAACTCAACCCGTTGCAGTCAGAACTCCTCCGTTACCAGGTGGTAGCTTAACGACAACATTGTCGAGGTATCTTTATCACAGCCGATGGCTATGGCTCGTAAGGAGACCCTTCGTACAGTCTACACCTGGAATTACGCTACCTAGATTGAACATCACCGCTATAGCCAGAATTCTTTCGACTATTACAAAGTATGTATGCGTATTTTCATTTTAAGTCATTGACCTATGTTATTGTTATTTTCTTTTATTATGTACAGCTTCAATTTGCTAGATAAAGCTTAAATAATTTAATTAAAATAATTCCAGGATACGTCTGGCAGAAGGTTTTAACTTCGCTTACTCCGCAGCAGGAATAATAAATATGGTGCTGGAGGTACAAATGCAAGGACTTGGAAGTGATACCCCATCACACCCTTGTATCATTCAGTATATCTTGTTTCCACCGCATACAATTGCTAATCCAACTTTGGAACAAGATAGCGGCTCAGATGATGACACTGACGAAGGTAAGGTGAAAATTTCATATGTCATCGTAAACATTAAACTAGTAGGGCATTCGTCTGCTAGGCATAATTTAATTTAACATTCGATCGTTACCATTGTAAATAATTTATGATTTGTTTATTAGGTACAGCTGATGGAGAAGGGTATACCGAGGACAACGAAAGCTCTGGTGATTTTCAAATTGTCACCGAAGCTTGGATCGAACCTCAATGTGGTCGAGTTGTTATACCTTCTCATCAGAGTGCAGCCTATATGAACGCTCTACAATATTATCAGTTACCGGATGCTGTAAGTTTATTTCTAATATTCATTTTAACTATTTATACGGTATAAGTTCTGTGCAAAATGGCCCTTGTGACTCTAACTTATCTCCGACCATTGGACATCCTTTTTATCTAATGTTGGGAGTATGATACAATTTATGGATAAAATGTTCAAATGACATTCTTCTTGAATTTGGAATTCCAAAAGATTTATAAACGTTTCCGATCTCTAAAAACTTAGCTGATCATCGTCGGCATAAATCGATAAGTCGAACCCATTTCTTTGAACCCGTCTTAATCGTGATAAGGTATCTAGGATCAATACTTGCACAGTCTTCTGATTACGTGGAGTTCAAGAAGAATGTGACGCATGATCGATTGGAGGGTGCGAACGGTCAAAACGCTGCCAAGCGAATTGAGAAGCACTTTTATTCTAAATAACGTATTACATAAATTGAGGATGTTCTATTCTTTTTTACATCGAAAAGCTAGAAATTTTAATAACGATCTTTTCAGTTAAGAATCAAAATGACAATTACAGGGATAATTTTAATGTTACATATAGGACAGAGAAGTTTCCGCAAAACGTACTGAGGACAATTTTACAAGGTATTAGAAAGAAACGTAATTTATTCAATTTGCGTTAAATGTTTTCACTGCATTGTCACGTAACAAATGTCGAAAGTGAAGTTATTCTAAATATTTCATATCGGGACGGCGGTTGGCACCGGTGAAGGATTTCTTATCACTTGTCTGATACTGTCTCTAATCAATAATATAATAAAGCGATCCTGGTTAGTGTTCGTTTGAAGTGGTTTATTTTCTCAGGTATTTCTATCTCTCCACAAACATTGGTCAGAGATATCAGAGATTGTCGAGTTTGGTCTTTGACTTCGACGGCTGATACTTCCTCGAATGGTTCTTGCCTTTCTTACCTGGGCGGAAAGAGAAATGTGTACTTTCACGCCTAAATATACTTTACTTAAAAGCTTACATCATAACTAGGAAAGTACATTAGGACTCTACCGTCGAAAGCAAATGTAAGATTCGGTTTGTAGATCTTCACATTCGTATCGTCGATTCGGACTCCTATTTTGTTCTTCATTTTCTGAAATTAGATGACTGTACTTGTAGCAATTGTACATTACAAAGTACACAGTGGACACTGTAGTCCAAGTATTCTACTAGGAAAAAAGTCATGATAACGATGCAGGTGAAAACTCAAGTTATAAAACCGCATCAGGAAACTCGGTAGAGTTTCGCACCAAATACATTTAAAAGCATGCGCGAACGGCGCCGAATATTTGACGCCAAAATTCGGCACATCAATTCGATAAATATTTAATTCTCAATTAAGAACTTATCCTGGATCCCTGTTTGGCATAATGAAAGTACGTTCCGCTTTGTAGAGCCTGTAATTTTTTTTCTAATTTTTCATATAAAGTCGTATTAACGACGAAGGTGAATTCTCTAGTTATAGAACTACATTTACCAGAACTCAATTTGGGAGGATATAAGTGTTTTTAATTGTTAAGAATTATACATTAGGAGGACGTACAGTACTTAGGCTCTGATCATTAGAAGTACGTACGGTCCTTGTACTGTGCTTTCCATAGCGCGCCCGTATGACTATAGTTCAAATCATCCAGGACAAAATTGAACAAAACTCGTGATAATCCCCAGATTAACGATGCAGGTGAAAACTCTTGATATAAAAGTACTTTTATCAGCACTCAGTTTGGGAGGATGTAGGTGTCTATCACGACACGTTGTTATCGTTATCGGGGTGCGGCTCCGATATCGATGAGGGACCTAGGACGGGGTTCTCCTATCAGTAGTCTCGGGTATATATAGGGCCCAAGGTGTGTCCTGGGCCCGCTAGTAATAGGTATATGTTTTTCCCTGATTATTCAGTCGTCGTCCTCCTTCCCAGCCAGAACGGAAGTTCCTTCATCGACGCGAAGTCGTCATTACGAAAGAGACAATGCGATCGCCGCGGTCGGACCTCCCTAAATTACATTCATTTCTTTTCAATACTTGTGCTGTTTTTCAATCTAATCTCCGTCGTCGGTGAATTCCCTGATTTCGGGCTGTGTTGAGAAATCGAGCTGGCTGCAAATTTTACAAATCTAATATTTCCTCCGAGTTCGTTATTCGGGTTTAACAGTGAAATTGTCTGCAAGAAGTTGTGTTAAGGTGATGTAAAAGTGGTGTCAGAGGTCTCGCTTATAACATTTTTCTCCGAACTAGATGTACCCAATCGATTCAAACTTTACAATGTGAATATAGAAAGTACAAGGAAGGTCCTGATTCTCGTGAAATCTAAATTTTTTACATTTGTTTATAGGCATTTTAAACATTTTTATAAAAAAAATTAAATTTCTTGGGGGTCAGGACCTTCCTTGTAGTCTCTGTATTCAACTTTATAAAGTTTGAAACGATTTGGTACACCTAGTTCGGGGAGAAAGTTTCACGAACGATTGACCTCTCGGATGCCACTTTCACATCCCCTTAATTTGAAACTTGCTCCGAGATCTCGAAGTGTCGAATTCGTCTTGGCTTTTTTTTTAATATGTATTTTCATATTTTGTGAAGCAGTAAAAAATGGTCTATCAAGCTCTGCGCTTGTAAATCCTCAATTCGATCTAATTTGCGATTATCCTATCACGGCGATCGCTTTTTCCTCTTTCGATCTTCTCTGTGGTTGGTGACAGTTTTCATATCGAAGATCTATTGGTGAATCAGTGCATTTGGTCGGAAATTGGAGCACAAAATCGTGTCTTCTGCTTTCTCCTTGTCAAAACGAAGTCGTTGAAGCCTGGAAGTGGATTTCGATCCTTTCGATCCTTGCGATCCTTAGTTGGAAGTGGGGATCTAAGCAGTGAGCGATGATGCTCCAGGAACTTGCCAGATCTAACTCTTCCAGCTCAGGATCACTCGGGAAGTCTTCATCGTGCAAGAAAGGGTTGTTCGTCGTTATCGTCGGAGCGAATAATCTGACAAATTGAAGGAAGACATCTAAGGAAATAGAGGCGTCACGGTTCAAGTGGAGAAGTGGTCTCTGCGCTTTGTTATAAAGTGAGATTCAACTCCTCCAACTTATTCCTGGCTCCTCGATATCTACGATTCCTATCGATCGAGGACTTCATTGGATCTTGGAGCTGTTATCGATTCTGGGAAAGATCGACTATCCATCAGGGAGTTCGGTTTTGCGAGGAGCGACATTTGTATTTGTATATCATGTCTTGACTTCATCATGTCATCATGACTTCGGACAGGGATTAATTAGAAAAAAAAAAATCGTCGGCTAGAATCCACTCGTAGTTATGTATAGGAATTTGTTGTAGATCGTTCTGTAATATCTAAAAATATTTATCAGATTGAAGTATCGAACTTTGGCGTTAAGCATTCGGTGCCGTTCGATCATGCTTTTGATGTATTTGGCGCGAAACTCTGCCGAGTTTCCTGATGAGTCTTTTCGGTGAGACATCTCATTTTCGATAATAAAATTGACTGCTGCGATAATTTATGATGTATGGCGTCCAGGATGGATTCCATTGTAAATTATTATAATTGTAATTAGTAACCTAAGTGTAATAAATATTCTTTGCGATTTCACGGTCCCTATCCTCGAACGTATGCAATCAAATTATATGATTGTCATTTTCTACTATTCTTTGTAAACTATCAAGAATACCGAAATTAAGAGAAAAATCTTATGGAATTCCTTACTCAAAGAATGTTTTTTTGGCATCTCAATTGAATGTCTGCAGAATGTTTTACGATTTCTTTTAACTCTTAATCGAAAGTAGGTCATTGCGGCCATTTATGTCTAATCTTATGACTAATTCCAAGTATGATAAGGAATTTCAACTGTAATAATTGTTTCGATAGAACGCTAGAAGCTTATTGGACATGTTTTAATTTATCTTAATCTTTCTTAATTCTCGATCTACTGATATTCACGTCGCCTCCTTTTTTTTATCTTTTCAGAGAATGAAGTCACTCGTTATATTTCGAGCATCGAACCGTTGTTCATTGTTAATTTCGTGGAATATAAATATATTGCGTATTGTTGTAACTCAAGTTTTTATTCCATTTTTCCTGTTTTTTAGATCGCTCAAATAGACGAGGAATGCATCAATGCTCTCCTGACGCTAGAATATCTTAGCCTCTTGAGCCAGGAAGTGTCAAACGAGAAGAACAATATTCTTTCAGGGCAACAATGTTCTGGTATACAAATGAATCCAGGAAATGGCGGAACCGTGGGAAGATCTATAAAGCGACCGGCATCAACTGATTTTTGTGACGGACCGCCAGATACAGACGAGAGGATTCATTCCGTGCTTTTTGCGTTTGATACTTTAAATATATTGTCAAAATGTCAACAGGCGGAGCTTTTGTTCTCCATGTTTGCCGACGGTTAGTAGTGGAACACTTAAATATTTGTAGATACTTGTGGATGATTTATTTCTATGATTGCATTTATGGTGATGAAGTGGCATCGAAAAGGTCTCGTTAATGAAGCTTTTCTCCAAACTGGGTGTACTGAATTGTTTCAAACTTTACAACGTGAATATGGAGACCATAAGGATGGTCTTGACACCTATGGCATTTCATTTTTTTTTATTAAAAAATGTGTTAATATCTGTAAACAAATTAAAAAAAAAAATTGAAATTTCATGGGTGCCAGGACCTTCCCTATAGCCGCTACATTTACATTGTCAAGTGTGAAACGATTCGGTACATTCAATTCGGAGAAAAGTTTCATGAACAATTTGTGATTCATGAAAGGTATTGGATATATTTGCATATGAGGCCGCTTTATTTAACGTTTTATCGAGAGTTTTAGAGAAAAAAGTATTAAGATATTTAAAAATAGCGGACTTGTGGAAGCAGAAGATCATGTTTTTTTTTTCACGGCTATTTAATCCTTCAACAGGCGCAGGCTACGTCGATGATGGAAGGGAGAGTGCCAATCGTGTTTTAATAGAAGGACTGATAGAACATTTAAAGCGTATACATAATAATGAACTGATTTTTACACCGACTGATTCCCAAAGATTTACGGAAATGCTTAAACACAGACTGCGCGATCAGGGAGCAGCGCCTGTATTTTTGTCGCGGACAGGTAAATTTCTTTTACGAATGACGAAGGCATTGAAATTTGAAGAAATTGAGGTTTCTTAAATATTCATAGGCACGGAGGAGCAAATCGAGGAGGCAAATTCTGGCCCTCAGTGGAGGTGTTTCGTTAAGGGTATCAGTGTGACCCACGTGATAATAACTATACTACCTGCAACTGAAAAAGACGTAAGGCTGATAGTGTTTCCCGATGATGGGAACAAAGGTGGATTTAACGATATTCATTGTACCACTCAATGCGAGTCGTTAACATCTAATCCCGACTTTGGAGAGAGGAATCTGACACCCGTTCCTTCCATGAGAAGTCCTAAGGAATCGGAATCCTTACTTACTCTACACGTCGGGGACATTGAATCGAATATTTCGAGCCGAAGCACCACTGCACAAAGTACACCTAAACTCGACGTTCATCGAAATGTAGCCGCTAGTAAAGGATCCAAGCATGGATCGATCTTGCCAGTGTACGTGTATGATTGTTCTCTAGCATTGTTGATAGATGTTCTGGTCGACAAGCTTCCATCGCCTCGGGCGAAGGACATCTACCAGGATCACACCTTCAGGATGGGAGAGCAATTAGGGGAGGAGTTCATTAATTTGAAACCTGGCGGTGACACCAAACCCTCTTCTCCTGAGCCGAAAAGCGAAGACTCCGATAACGCTTTCAATGGTAATATTTAAATTGTATATTTTCATAGAATTGTTGCCGCAATTTTGACAAGTACGTAAAGGTTCGAGAACTTTTAGAAGCGTGATTAATTTGCCGTAGATCAAAGAAGTTTGATGGAACATTGTAAGCTTCTCAACTTGGCACATTGTCACAGTTATGTGGTAGCTGTGTACAAGTCCTTGGCTCTTCAACTACCTTTGAGCTATGAAGACATGGAAGCTACGGTGGACCAATGCGAGGAGTCGATGATTGAGATCAACATCACGAATTATTTACGTTCAGTTTGCAGACATCTGAGCTGCTCCAAAAATAATTCGGGAAACTATTTAGACAGACCGGCGTGCAGCAATATTCAACCCTTGCATAATTTAATTAAGAACAAATTCGAACGAATCATTACTGTTGCATTTCGCCCGGTACCGGCACATCCGGAATTCTATTACTGTTCTCCTTCCTGGAGCTCGGAGAGACTGGTAAGACACTTAGAATTATGTGGTAATTACAAAAATAAGTACAATAAGATGGCAAGGTCTATAATGGACAGATTCTGTTAATTCAAATTTTTATGTAAAATTTTTTTTCAGGAACAAAGGTGTTCGCAGAGATCAGATAGCGATGACGAATTAGGTTTCACCTTCCATTCGGATATTCTTGACTGCAAAATGGACGGAATAATTGGGAAAGGTAGGGTAAACGTGTCGATAGAGAGAATTAATCTTTCAGAAGCATAATTCTGATCTCTGCATTATCTCTTTCAGTCAATCAGGTATCGAATGCGACATGGCCAAGCACTACTCATCACGACGGGGTAAAACTTTCAAGTTTCGCCTCCACGGAATCCCTTAGTTGCGATTTACAAGATGACGGTAGCTCCTACAAAGAGCAGCCACTCTTCCTGCAATTGAGTTGTTCCATTCATTACCGATCCAGTCTCTCGAGTACCCCGGTCAAACTTTTACCGACTTGCCTCATGGAAATAATTGAAAATTCAGAAGAAATGTACGATCGGGATTGGTCTGATCTGAAAGTCACGTTAGACATTATTTGCTTGAACCTTCCGAAGGAAGTACTCGAGGTCAGCACGGATACGCACCCAGGATTAAGGACGACTTCTTATTGCAGTGCTTCTCCATTGGGTAGCACTAGAACGGAAAGTGAAGGCAGTCCAGGTAACGATACCCAGCTATCAGAGACCGAACCCATTTTTGAAAAGATACCGCATCTTTCTCTTTATCAACGCAATGCTGTGAATAATTTGAACGAAGAAATCGAATGGCTGTTAAAGGACGAAACCGCTACAGCCTTGTTAGATCAGTCAATTGTCACCGAGGAGACCCTGAGATTCGTGGCTCGTCATGTGTCCGAATCGAATAATCGCTCTAGTTGTTTTAAGGACAAAGTGCCATTTCGCTTTGTCTTTTCCTCGGAGAATAGCGTCCCAAAGTTCTTGGATGAGTTGAAGAAACTTAAAATCGATCGGTACTGTATTAAAGAAGAGGGAAGTCTGTTTTATTTTGTGAAGAACGAAGAAAAGGTCTCCAGTAGTTTGGAAGTCGAGACTTCGAAGAAGGATTCGGTGGAACACGACGTTGAGGAAGGTAATCATACTTTTGAAAAAATCAATTCTTTTTTCATTGATTTGCAAGGATTATCCCTTGTCCGTCCACTTTAATTTTTGCTGCCGTCATAAAAACATCAACGTAGTAATTGTGAGTGCGGGGTCCATATATCGTATGTCCATGAAATATCCACATTGAGAAACAGATTTAATGGCTTCGTGTCTTGCAGATGACGTCCTTTTAAACGATGAAGATCAAGAAGAGAACCAAGACGTTAAAAGCAAAATTAGCGGACAAGACTCAAGCGATCCACCTGGCTGTTATTCCGAGATATCCAGTTTGGGCGATGGCCAAGCTGGCACCGACGATGGTTACGAGGGTGATAGCAGCGATTCCGAGGATGACTGTCATTGGCTGACAGAATTGGACAACCGAAGGAACCTAGTCCCGAATTTCTGGCTGATCTTGGAAATCGATAGTAACAAAGTCAACATCTATTTTCATTGCAGGTTTGTAAGATAATTAAAATATATTGAAGACACATCGGTAGTGTCCGACGAACCCGTTTTATGTTGAATAGGTTTTTGGATCTAGCCTCCCCAGAAGTTGATCGATACAGACAAGTACAGAAGACAGTTATCTCCCAGATCAAAGGAATATGTCGTCGAGTCAATCAATACCTTTTACTTCAAAGTCTACACGATACTCGCATGTGCGATCCGCTGCTCGAGCCCGAATCTAGCGACGACTACAACTGGAGAGTAGAGTCCACCGAGTCTAGTGGGTCCGTTCCTAATCAGAACTCCACCTCGAGTATGACCCCTGGACAGTTCAGGTGTCCAGTTGTTTGGGAATATCCCTTTTGCCTGCATCCTAGACTCAAAACCGGCCCAGGGAGGTCCGGTCTATCTCGCGGAATCAAGGCATTGCATGGCGTTCTGAACAGGTTCTCCGTGAACAATCGGAGCAACCTGTTCGTCTACCTGGAGAACAACGAAAATGTATTCTATTTGAGGCTCCACGAGCAGACAAGCGACGGCAAACCCTTGCAGAACAAGTTATCGGAAAGCGACGAACGACTCGTGGTTTCCCGCAGCAACAGCGTGGCTTCTCTTGCACAGACCAGAGGACGAAATTCGACTAACGACCAGCTTTCTGCAAACGATACAAGACCCAGAGTGCGCTCCTTTGGCGAAAAAGAGAGCGACGTTCTGGGCAAGTCTGGAGATTCCATTGTACTGATGGTACATGGCATCTCAGAGACTGGACCAGAAGTCCGGTACGAGTTAGTTCAGGTTTTACAGAATAGGCTGGACGATGCCGTTCTGGAGGTGCTATCGGTAATGCTGGCGAGGAATCCAATGTGTAAATTAACTCCTACTGATGTACATTTTATTCAAAAGCCTTATCGATCTCCTGAAAGCGTGGTACAGCTCTCGGTGCAGCCTCACTGTTTAACTCATATGCACGCCTTTGGACACTACTTGAGGCAGAATATCTTGCAATTTCTGTACATTCCTAAGTACACCGATGCGAGAGCGCATTATCACTTTCAAGATTATTCCCAGCCTGAAGGCTCCAGCAAGAGAGTGGCGGAATCGGACATTTATTTGTACAATCAAAGCCACTCCAGTGGTAGCAGAGGAGTTGCTTGCATTGCTCTAGCAGTTGTGAGTTCCCAGGTTGGAAACATTACCGTCAACGATTCTCCTACCGCTGGAACGCTTCCTCTCCCTTTCTTAGAAATTGGTGATTTTGAAAAGTTGGTGTCATCCTCGGTATACTCTGGCAAGGAGCATCCCGAAGAACCGGTCCCGGAAGTGCTAATTGAATTCAGAATTTGGAAACAGGGCAGAGTCAATCTAGAGTCCCTAGTGCAGAAATTATGTGCTGCCGTTAAACATGCGACGTGGGATTTACTTACGGAATATTACTTTCTACCGACAGTACTTATGGAGCCGTTTTCCGTTCATTCTGGGGACGATATCGTGGCTGAAAATAAGGCGAATAAGGAAACTCAGACTCCTACGAAGGTTCCACAGTCTAGCTGTAAAGTTAATGAGAATATTGTCATCGGGACCTACGAATCTGGCGAAGAAGGGAAACTACACAAAGTATATCATACTACTTTGCCATATTGGTTTCAATTTGCATTAGAGATTGGAGTTCCTGCTATCAAGAAGCACGTTGTCATGCTGCAAAGGAAACATCCTCTTCCCACGATGGTCAAGGAGCTTCAGAATCTTATCCGAGGCTATGCATCCGATACGAACACGAGGACTTTTGTACTTCACGATCAGCAGCTTCTCAAGCCTGAAGTGACCAAGTCGAAGGTGTTGAAAATTCCCAGTAATTTGGAAAATAATGAGAACGTTATTTCCACTTGTGGACAACGAGAAGACGAAGACCTTCCTATTTATGTTCCGTGGGACTTTTATAGAGAAGATCATAGTACTCACAAGAACAGCATTTTAGTTGGGAGAAATTTTCAGCAATGGAAAGCTTCGTTCAGCAAGACCGTTGAGCCTGAATTGCTGCAACCTAAGGGTCAGTTCAACTAATCAGTAGGGATACCTTAAGGTGATGGGAAACACTCGTCTTATTCGAATCGATTGATTTGAGAGGGATTTCACTTCACCTTAATTCTAATATCTGCTAATTTGTCTTGGTTTCATTCGAAATTTCTTTCCACAGATCAGAAAGTGCTGCAGAGATTTAATCCCTTGATACTGGAATCCAGTTTCGTGCCGAGACAGCGATTGCTGCTTGCCAAGATGCAGTGCGACAACGTATGAACGTTTGTTTTAACAATATTTACTTAATAAAAATGTTGTTTCGAAAACCGACACCGATCATTTGCAGATCGTTCTCTACATTTACAACTGGTCGAAGGAGAGGTCCGAGAAACTCATAAAACAAACTACCATTCTCGGTACGTGGCTCTCCTCAAGGTCCATTCTGTTATCGAACATCATCATGCAGAAAATGGGCATAACGCATCATCAACCGTTACGAAACTATCAGCAGAGCGAACAGGCGAGCTTTCAGTACTATCCCATCACCGACATGGAAACCTTAACGAGGTTTCCTCAGGCTCTTCAGGCCGACAAGGATTGGCCTCACTCGGCCAACCGACCTCAAGTCGGTAAGGTTACATCTTTAACATGGGACGACATGATCGGACATCTGATCCGCGATGCAAAGCCTCATCATCCTCCCAACATCTCCGATCCTGTCGTCAAAGCCGTTTACGACTTGCAAGAATTATGTCGTCGGGAGAAGAAATCAAAAGGTCGGTATAATATGTTACGACGATCGGAAACAACTGAGTAAGATTAAATTTCTCAGCACCTTTCATATCACCTTAATTATATTTATATGCTATCCGCTATACGCAGGATGTTCTCTAACGGTTTAGGCAATTTTTTCAGAGGACTTGAAGAGACTAAACGCTATGTGGCAGACTCGCGGAACGGCTCCGAACATCCCAGTCTCCCTGACAACTTTGAATACATTCAAACAACATTCTCGCCTCATTCATTATTGTCACACGCCACTTTTATTTCTCCCCACGTGGCGTTTAGAGTCTGCAGCTACGAGAGATCATTCTTTGACACCTCCGCCTTCAATTTTGCCCAGTTTCATTCCCGAATCTACGCAAGCCGTTCAGGGAAAAAGTACTCCTGGAAAATCTGGGAAACGTAGCGTTAATGCGGTCTCAGAGTGGCATCAGGAATTGTGCGATTTGATGCTCGAAGAGTACAAACAGTACCTGCAGATTTTAGGTTTCAATCCGATACAAGTGGAAACGCCGAAGAAATCGTAAGGAGTCTTTATATACTTTTTAAATATTTAATTACATACGTTCGTAATGATAATGATCATTTTCTGTTAAGAGATGGAGAACCAACGGAGAGTCAGAAAGGTTCATGCTATCTGCAGAAATCCATGTTAGGTGGAGTTTTGTTGTTCGAAGTCCACCTAGCGCAGCCATTCTTCGTGGTTAAACTTAGAGTCATCGAATGCAGTCGTCTTCAAACCAAAGCTAGTAGTGCTCTTACAAATCAGGTAAGCATTAATTTAGACAGTATCACCTAGAAGTAAAACGAAGGAAAGATTTGATCAAATAAAAATAACAAGGAAATGTTTGTCATGCAGTTTACGTTGAGTTTCGTGGATGCCTGCGACAAGATCAAGACTAACATGCACTTGCACTCGTTTACGTACGACTTTCATCTGCGATGCATTCATTCTTACATCGCTGGAACTGGTCAGTGGTCTTTACAGCAAGGTTATCATCTTACCCACTTTCTCGACGACTTTAACAAATATTATAGCAAAGCTCCAAACTACGCCAGAAATCTCGTCTACAGTGGTAAGTGGCCAAACGAGATTGGGTTACATCTTTAACTAACAATAATGCTACGAAGTATCTCAAATCCTGCCTTCTTGCAGACACCGTGACTGTCGGCAACCTGACTACACCTGCTCGAATTCTGTATTCGTACTTACTCTCTCACGAGAAGACATACGGCATGCAAGTATTGGGAATGTCTCCCGATTCGCAGGACACTCAGGATGTAGATTACGTGCTGGTGAGACTACAAAGTACTCCTTTGGTCAGCTATCGAGATGCGCAAGACATGAAACATACGGACGACTTCGACGTCACCCTGATAGTCTCCAGGATAGAACAACCAGCGCAGACTGAAAAAACAGAGATCACTCTGAAATACTACCTGATGTTAACCAGTAAACGCGAGTTATATCCGAAAAGAGACGTGGAAAATAAGCTGGGGAAATTCCGCACGGTATATAGCGTCGCAAAATCGTCCGCAACCAGTTCTCACGCGGAAAGTCCCTCAGGGTCGAGTCCAGTTTCACCAGTACCTCCATTCCTGCAAAGACCCACAAAGATCGAGACGATCGAAAGCTCGGGTGAATTTAACGAAGATAGCACACCGGAGAAGAACCAGGAAGAGATTAAGGAAGAGGATAGCACAGATATGAACGATTCTCTGCCACCGACTCCTCCTCCCGTCCCCAATTCACCGTTAACTCAGAATCCTGGTGTCCTTAATGCCGCTTCTTCGTCGTCCTCGTCCACCCATCTCCTACAAATTCGCCAGGAATCGGTAAACTATCTTGGCTACTACTCCTCTCATGAACAGTTGATGCATCAGATGATGATGTCGCAGGCATACGCGGCTCGCGAGCACATTGTTAACATGGTAGAACGAGGAGCGCTTCATTGTAAGACTCATCTTCTTTGGAACAAGCTCCTGGAGAACAAATCTACGATGAGCTATGCAGAGTTTATGGAACTGCGATCGCTGGCTCGAGTCGAGCCTTTGTCGAGTTTGGATCAGAGACTGAGTCCTTTAATTAGTCAACCAGTGGTTTGGTATCAGACCTTGTCGAAAGTTTTGCAGAACAAGTATCAGGAACATCATAAACAGTTCAGCACTCCGGACGGAAACGTTACTCATCATCTCATTCTACATCCGAGTTATCTTCAGGCTTTTATGCTGCTGACTGTTGATCTACATACGTCGAGGGGCGTAAGTATTAGCGTGAGATTGTGGAGTGGAATTTTTATAAACAAATGACTCCGTTTTTATGTTTAGGAATTATATGCCGTGTACCGAAAGCCAGCGGAAGTCGTCGATTCTCCAGTCAACACTGCAGATATTTACAGTCTTGTTGAAGGTTTCGTCAATGCCTGCTGTTTCCATCTTTGGATGGGTCTATATAATCAATAGTTAAATTTCTCTGGATCTTCTTAGGATGTTAACTTATTCTTCGAGGTTGTCATAAACTGTCTGTAATCGCGGCGAACTTTGCAAAAGAGGGACCTGTGCTGCACATAATTTATTGTTCAGTCTTACGTTCGCGCTTTATCGACAGTAAGTTTGCTAAACTATTGGTGGTTCAGATACGCGAGATGAACATCTAAAAACACTGCTTTGTTGCACTGTGAATGTATGTACATACGTGGTTCTGTAAATATGAAATATATCTTTTTGTTATAAACATGTGGCTATGTTTACAGCACAAGTTAAACGAAACATTTGTAGAATGTTGATTTCATCGGCTCTGTGGCATTTTTTGCTACGTTCTCTCTTTCTCTTTATTATTATACAGAAGTTGGTCTAATACTGTAGGTTGATGTTGATGTTAAAAATAAATAAAAAAGTACATACCTTCACAAGGAACGGGTTTGTTAAATGTGGATCAGTTTAAAACACGATAGCTAGGTGGCACTAGCTCGTAATAGCTGTGCAACATGTGCTATGCTTTCTGCCACTCTCTGGTAGTATATTTCAATGATCTGTAGTATAAACACTTTTTAGCATCCTTTGCTCGAACGTCTAATTGATTGAACAGTTTTTATATATACTATACGCGAAGAAGTAAGTCCGTTTAAATTGTTTTTAGTGTTTTGTGATTTTAGTGAATCTTTATCAGTAAGACTATAAGATTGTAACTCGGTTTGTCCAACTTCATCTGTAATTTGTACTGACATAACCTTCAATTTGATGTGAGTTTACTGTTATGAAGCAGTCCAAATTATGAATCTAGAACTGCTTGGTAAGTATCCGTTTATTGAAATTCATTAAATTAAATTAGTGGCTCTAGAAATGATTATTCTGAAAGTATATTTCAATTTTATATCTTTACTTCCAGAGTCGTTTGGCCAAAACTATCCAGAGGTGAGTAACGTATATTTTAATCTCTCAAGGGTTTTTATACAAATTACTGCAAGCTTTACATTTTGCAGGAGTTTGATGGAACGTTGGACTGCATTTCTTTGGCAGTAACTTGTGCGTTTAATAAAAGAGGAACGCTATTGGCGGTTGGGTGCAACGATGGCAGAATCGTCATCTGGGATTTTCTTACACGTGGTATCGCTAAGATTATCAGTGCTCACGTTCATCCTGTCTGTTCGATAAGGTACCATTGCCTGTACATTAATGTACAAATAACTTTGAAGTAAACTTCAGTATTTTGCTTGCATTGAAATTGTGATAAATTTCTTTCACAAATATACATTATACATTTTTGTCTATCATAGTTGGTCCAGAAATGGCCATAAATTACTGAGCGCTTCGACGGACAATAATGTATGCATATGGGACATTTTATCGGGAGAATGTGACCAAAAATATAGATTTCCATCGCCGATATTAAAGGTGCAATTTCATCCGAGGAATCTCAATAAATTCTTGGTATGCCCGATGAGACATGCAGCAGTTATGGTCGATGTCGAAGGGACTCACAGGGTAATACCTCTGGACGAAGATGTATGTAATCGATGCATTAAATTTAATCATTAAATGAATTTAAATTATCTACTTAGTTATTTATATTGTATATTTTCAGAGTGATCTGAATATAGTGGCATCGTTCGACAGACGTGGTGATTATGTTTTTACTGGCAATGCTCGTGGTAGAATTTTAGTTCTGGATGCTGAAACATTAACCGTGAAGGCTTCATACAAAATATCACAGGGAACGGCCAGCAATACCGCTGTCAAAAGTATTGAATTTGCGCGACGAGGGTCATGCTTTCTAATTAATACATCGGACAGAGTGATCCGCGTTTATGACAGCACTGAGATATTGACTTGTGGAAAAGACGGGGAACCAGAACCGATTCAAAAATTGCAAGATCAGGTTAATAAATCCATGTGGAAGAAATGTTGCTTCTCGGGAGATGGAGAATATGTTTGCGGAGGGTCTGCTAGACAACATGCTTTATATGTTTGGGAAAAGAGTATAGGAAATCTGGTGAAAATTCTGCACGGGACAAAAGGAGAACTTCTTCTCGATGTAGTGGTAAGTTTTCCCTATTTAGTATTTGCAATATATTTAGTATTTATTGACCGATGAGAGAAGCAGACTTGCAGACCGAGACAAAGGAATTACTGTTTAAAAATGTCAAATGTTTTCTTTACAGTGGCATCCAGTACGGCCAATAATCGCTTCGATATCTTCTGGCGTCGTTTCTATTTGGGCACAAAATCAAGTTGAAAATTGGTCAGCTTTTGCGCCAGATTTTAAAGAGTTGGACGAGAATGTGGAATATGAGGAACGAGAGAGTGAATTCGACTTAAGTGACGAGGACAAGTCCGTAGTTCAAGGAGAAGAAGCACAAGATGAAGAGATAGAAGTCGACGTTGCATCCATCGACAGAGTAGCAGCTTTCTGCAGTTCCGACGAAGAAACGGAAGATATCGGATCGCTTCAGTTTTTACCGATTTCCCCGGACGTAGAAGAAACCGAAGACAATCAGGCAACATCCCACGAACCCCCCGTAAAGAAACATCGTTCACATGACATAAATTTGCAAGGAGCGCCGATCGATGGTAAGGAGTTACAAGTACTTTATATATTTATCGTATCGCCCTGGCTAATACAAGAATGCCATTTACGTTTCAGAAACACATCCTCTTCTGAACAAAGGAAAAGATAAACCCGCGGCAAAGAAAGGAAGGCCAAGATTGGAGCACCGAAAGGGCAAATGAAGTAATTTATATAAATACTTGTACAGCTTATTAACTAAAAAGAATTAATTTATAATATGCATTACATTCTCCATGTTTAGTATTTACCCGAGAGCAATTCCATTTTATTGTCCGGACCCTGAAGATTAACAGTTTCTGTTTCGCATGGTTTAAAACTGGGTAAGGAATAAACATTTCATTTTATTAGGTCGTGCGTATTCTCTCGAACGGTACTTTGCAACGATTAACGTACACGCTCCTCTTTTTTTCTAGACAACTTTATTACAGGTTATGTCAGAATACAGCCTATAACAGTTTGTAAATTAGATGTAGGTTTCACTTAGGTATATCTTTAAATACACGTAACATCCGGCGGACTTAAATAAGACAGAATTCGCCTCTCTTAACTTGGTAAAAAAATACGAAAAATGCGACGCTCATTGAAGAAATGAAGTCGAAGTTTCCGTACGACACCCGAGTGTCGGTCCCTGCTTCGTCATCCGTCGATAAAAGGTTCGACTTCATTTCCCCGAAGGTGGATCTTGGAAACCCTTGGGCGTGTAGGAGCAGCATTCGATATGGTGATTTCGCATGAACGCGGACGACTCGCGCCGGCCGAACTCATAACTCAGGTATCAAGTGAATCGCGTTAAGGGAATGCGAAAGTGGCGCCAAAGAGGTCCCGTTTATGAAACTGTTGACCGAATTGGGAATATCAAATCGTTTCACACTTTACAACATGAATATGGGGGCTGTAAGGAAAGTTCTGACACTCGTGAAATTTCGTTTTTTATAAAAGAATATCCGCGAACAAGCTTTAAAACAAATTGAAATTTCATGGGAGTCAGGACCTTTCCTCGAGCCTCCACGTTCACGCTGTAGAGATTGAATAGATTCGGTACCCTCAGTTCGGAGGAAAGTTTCATAAACGATCGTCTCCTTACGTGCCACTTTCACATCCCCTTAAGGAGTCGTGCCAGTGGCAGTGAACCGAATGGGCGTGTAGATTACGGCCTACGCTCTAGAGAATACGCGATTTGATACATTGCCTTGCATGCATTAATGATATTACTTTTTCCTTATACGTATTTATAATAGTTATATCTTCTGTATAGTTTAGCTAGCAAGCATAAAGTCGATTCTTCGTACGATAAGATTCCATGATATGATGAGTCAATATGTAGGGTAAAGTCGCTCTCAGGGGACCATCGAAGCCAAACAGTAACTGCCTTAATGATATAATTCAGCTATACAATGGCGCATATCAAAACTTATAAAATACCCAAAACCACCGTGTAGCTCCCCTGACCCTGCATGTTGCACGGCAGTTAAAAAACCGTGGATTCGTCTCTGATATGCGATGGAGCCTAGCTCCTTTCCTGGTCGTCGGATTATCGTTAAGGTTTGCGACGCGCGATCCTCTCGGTTGGGTCTTCCTGTAATTTCGTGGAAGCGATCACGCCAGAAAACGCAAATGTGATATGCTGGAGCGATCGCGGTTGAATCGTGGATCCTTTACTTCCTTTACTTAAAAGCTGGTGGAGGGGCTCTCTGCCCGTTCGATTTCGACGAGTCTTCCGTCATGACCGTCACCAAATCCCCGACAGCCTTTCCCAAGTCTTCTGGAAATTCCAAGAGCGTAGATTAGATCCTCTGCGTTGAAAGTACTCCATAGACGAGGAGAAACGTTAGAAAATTAATGACTGTGCAGTGGCAGATTGTGCAATGAAGCCGTCCCTGGCACATAGTAGCCAGTTTTGTCAGCGAACGACGACGTTTCGGAGTACCTTCTCCGATCGGAGGCACTTATGCAACGACCAAGCTAAGATTGTCAAAAACTGCATCCTAGTTTCACTCGCTAATATTAAGGTGACGCGAAAGGCGCTGAGAAATTTAATCGGCAACGATTTGACCTCTCGGATATATATATGTAAGCTGACTCTTTCGTATCACCTTAATTAGGCGAGAATTCATTTGGTCTGGTATACGGCACACTCCGTAATCGGGATTATATGTTGCGAACTTTACCTTTTACATCCATCCTGTTGCAGTGAAACAGGAGACGTGAAATGGTTAAAGAGATGAGTCAAGGGTAATGACGCTAGAATGAGGGGCATGCAGCGATTTGTATATTCTCTTTTTTTTTTTTCTTTTCCTTTTTATGAAGAGATGGACGAACCTGCCATATGCAAGAGGTTACCCACGTTATGGGCTACGCTGTGGGAATGAGGCGGCGGTGGGGGCCTCTCTAAGCTGCTGACTCTGCCTTCACCAGGGCCTCCACCACCTAATCCCGTGATACCCAAAGCAAACGTGTAAACACCGTTTCCAGCTCAAAAAAGCGGGTTCCGATTACGTGATCGCGGCGCGCCCAATTTTCATCGTTAACCCTTTCAGCCCCTTAAAAGCGTAGAGCACGGACATTCTTCGACTGATTAACAAGATTTAGATTTCGCTCAGGGTAGTTTACGAGACTCAATTCTAGAAGCAATCTGATGTTTTCTTCTCACAAGCCTACCCAAAACCCCTAAAGCATTTAGATTACGGTGGCTGAAAGGGTTAAACGGACGAACTAATTTTTATTCCGTTATTAATCCGTTCAAGCTCGAGGCCAGAAGCTCCATTTCCATTTTCGAGACGCAGGGCGACGCGATCAACCTTCTACCGAAAAGCGCAACCTTTGACAAAGAGTGAAGTTAATCTATGAGGCATCCATCACCAAGAGTAAAGTTAATCCGTAAGGTATCCATCACCCACCCTAAGCATTCTAGGCAATTAGTACACGCTTTCTTATTGCACCAAACCGCTTACCCGGAGAGTCGTGGTAATGGCCATTCATTTTCGCCGGAGAATCGGTGGCTAATTGCGAGGCAGTCACGCTTCTCATTTGCAGAGTGCCGGTCTTGGACGGCGAGGATGCATTCGGCTAAAAGTAGAGCACAATTAGTTCATTTTTCACATTCAGGACCGGTGTCCTAATATTCGAGTTAAAACCCTTAATCTAGGGCTACTTAATAAGTGATAGAATTAATTTTTGTCAATGCAACGAAAATTTCGCTGATCAAGTGATTGAAATTAATTAGTTTTCTGCTTATCCAACCCGCGGTTCATTAACCAGTTAGCTATTTTCGATAACCATACTCGTCCTGAAAACCCGCTTATCAAAGAGGTGGCTAACTGGTGTCAATCCCTTTTGGAAGGTCAACGTCTTCAAGGCGGCGCCAGCAGTTTCAATTACCTCGTCCAAGAGCTGTCGCAGCCTCTGTAGCTGCGCCTCCAGTTGACGATTATGGTCCTCCAGGATCTGCATGCGTGCCTCCAGTCTCCCCTTGTGCTGTCGAAGCAGTTTAGCTTCCGCGATCATGTCGCAATCCGGCTGCCTCGTGCCGTGGCCGTCTTCGGGGGTCGATCCGGGGGTTTGGGTCGAACGTAGCCTTTCGTATTCGGCCTGCAGGGTGGCGTTCTCCTCCTCCAGCTCCCTGATCATCGCCTGCAGCTCCTCTCTCTGCTCCGCGTCGATGGCGGCCATAACTTGGACGGGACTCCTCGGCACGTTGACGTTGTCGCCGCCGTTCAGGCTATGGCAGTAATGCGCGATCAGCTGGTGCTCGTCGTCGCTGTCGGGGGTGGAGTTGCTGCGCGTGCGGGAAAGCTCGACCTCGGCCAACCGCGTTGCGTACATCTCCAGTCGAGAATGCATGTCTTGACTGAGAGAGCTGTGCTGCGGAGACGGAGCTGGGCTCTCCAGAGCGTCACCCTCGAGAACGGTCTGAACCGGCAGATAACCGACCCTAGGATGCTTCTTGAAGTATCGCTTCGACTTGAACTTGTTTCGCAGCGCTCGGGTGAAATCTCTCACGTCTTCGCCCGATGTGGTCTGCGGGAGAAATGGGGCGTCAAACGGGAGCAAACCAGGAAACGGGTACCCTGGTGGATACGAATGCCTGTCCAGCATTCTGTGATAGCGTCATGTCTGGGAAGGCATTCGCGTCTGCCTGTGACTTACCGCCGTGCAGTATTCTTGCATGGGATGGGTCAGTTTATGATTTTTCGCTTTGCGCCCAGAGAAGAAGCAATTCTGACACATGTCAAAGTTGAAGCACTTGAGACAGCGATATCTAAAACAAATCAATTCGTTTAATGCACGTGACATAGATTTGTATGTAAATTAAAATCTCGGCGAGTGATCCCACGAGTGTTGGAAGTGAAACCTCTAAATTAAATAGAATTACCAGATACCATTGCGGGAATTTTCTGGCCTCTTATCAGAGTTGATAGAGCATAAATTACCTAAAACCAATGATTGGGAATTCCTTGCAAATGTTACACCGTGCCTGATGTTTGGCACTTTCTGCAGCCGACAGCCTGTGCAGAACAGGAAGCCAGACCATGCTTTGAGGTTCTTGCTGCAGCCAACTCAAAAAGTGCACGGCCTCTATCTCGTTCTTATCTTTGCCGGCCTTCTCGAAGCAGCTTCGAACACTCGGCTCGATGTTGGAACCCCCGAAAGCGGCCACTTCGCCGAGTTGTCTCGGAACTTGGATACAGTCGTGCAGTAAGAGGCCTAATTTACGTTGATCGACTAGTCGGTTTGGATCGGCTATTAGCCGGAATAAGTCTGCAAGCAGAACGAATCAAATTAATCATTCAAAAATTGTGAATGAAAGTGACTAAGGAGACAATCGTACCATGAAATCTTTCTCCGAATCGGGTGAAATTCTACCACGTGAACATGGAGGCTCTAAGGAAGGTTTCGACATCCCTAACGTTCAATCGTAAATAAGAAATAAATTGTTTATAAGAAAAATATTTAGAAAATGAAATTTTACGAGGGTCAGGCCCTTCCTTGTAACCTCTACGTTCACGGTGTGGAGTTTGAAACGATTTGGTACACCCAGTCAGGAGAGAAGTTTCATAAACGAGACCCTTTTCGCATCACCTTAACGTTCAAGATAAATCTACTAAACGGAGATGAATTAACATACATCTATATTTCTCTTCCAGGTGGCCTTTGCACAGCAAGACGAGGCCTACTTTGAACGATAAAACTCGAATCTGTCCGGTTCTTTGGCTGAAAGAAGATGGTACAAACGTTTCAGCTTGGCAGGAAGGAGACGTAGCGACAAGTAGGATGGTAAAGACGGGATAAGCCATTCGCTTGTCATACCTATCGTATACGTTGAGCAGCCAATTGATGGCCAGGTCTATGCACAGAGGCACGGACACTTGGGTCGGGTTTTCTGCTGCGATGACTTCGTACAACGAGGTCAACACCGTCACCATGTCGGGGATGTCGATGAGCTTATCGTTCTGGGCCCGCAACCCGTGGCAGTCGAACTGCTCCAACGCAGAAGAGAGGCTCAGCATATCCACTGTTGGGCACATCAGGAATGCACATTGAAATTCATGCCGTTCCTCGTTCCGACGCGACGAGTCCTCCACGCACGAGAGATCGGATATTAAGGTGATGCGAAAGTGGCTTCAAAGGAGTTTCGTTTATAAAACTTATCTCCAAACTGGGTCCTGCGAATCGCTTTAAACTTTACAGGGTAAACAAGGAGGCTATAAGGAAGGTTCCGACTCTCATGAAAATCTGTTCAGATATTTATAAAATTTGTTATAAAAAGTGAAATTTCACGAGGGTCAGGAGCTTCCTTACAGTCTTCGCATTCACGTAGTAGAGTTTGAAACGGTTTGGTAGACCCAGTTCGGAGGAAAGTTTCACGAACGATTGACTCTTTGGATGCCACTTTTACATCCCCTTAAAGTGACTTAAAAGGCATTTATCTGCTTACAGCAGAGTCTCTTCTGCACGGTCCGCAGCTTCATGGCGGTCCTGTAGGCGGAGAAGCGGACCTCGTTGAGGTCTGCCAGCGAGGACATCAGCTCTATCATCTTCGGATGATCCCAGTGCGTCGTCTCCAGCTGGTGGCTGCGGATAGAGAAAACATTGTTAGGGCTTAATACAAGGAAACCGGCAATATGCTAAACGGGCGCGGACACGGGCGTAACTTCTCCTACGGATCAGCGGAGCCCACCGGTCAGCTTTAACCGCGCAATGTTTACGTAGTCGCGAGTTCATCGGCTAACTTTCGCCCTGCCAACTTCTGGTCTGGCATCAGCGTTTACGGAGTTAGACCCCAGTTCGCCAGCTGCCAGGTAAAACCCTGCTTCGGCCCAGACCGCCGGTGCAAGTGCAACGATAATCTGAAAGCCCGGCGAACAGGGAATCACGGCCTCAGCGGAAATCTCCAGGCTGGATTCTGATCGTTAAAAGATCTCCCTGAACCACCGAAATCGATTTTCTTCGACCGATTAACAAGTATACGAGGAAGAGAATCGCGTACGGCCTTGATTAGCTGTGTTGCAAAGTGTATCTCATGTACAAAAGACGTGCACGTAGAACTTTAAACGTCTTTGTCTCGACACAGCACATTTTTAAAGGGCAATCGAAATCTCAAACGGATGATCGAATCCACTTACAATTTTGGAGATATTTCTTGTGGATATCTAACTCTGGCTGGAACTAGGAGCGTTTCAGCTAATGCGAAATTTCAAATTTGAAACTCAAAAAATGCACCGTTCTTTTGTACGGAATTAAGTTTCCTTCTCAAAGTGCCATTTTGAGGTTTTTCAATATTTTTAAATACTACTTCCAATGATAGCCGTACTCGAGACGACTAACCATGTTTTTGATTACTCTGTTTCAGACTTCTACAATAGCCAATTGTATTAATTTTTTCCCTCGCTCCCTTTTAGAATTTTCCCTGGATTCGAGTTACAATATCTCGCTTCAGGAGAATATCTCGCCACCATAAGGGGGCTGGTCTGCTATCTTTGTGCCCTCTTTTTCCCCAGGCCGCGAAGTCCCGATTTTTTCGCTCGGCGAAGTGGTTGCCCTATCGAGGGGGAAATCATTTAATTACTTGATGTAGTAAGGCACTTTGGCGGGAGTTAAAGCTCGTTCCCAAGGCGGTTCCACGCTGCCCGCTAGGAAGGCCTGACTACCCGGAGTGCTGCCATCCTTTCCGTATCCGCTCAGCAATTTGTATCGCTCGTCCACCGCCACTTGTAGCACCTTCCACCTGAAACAATTAGAAACGATCACGTACCAGAAGGACCGGGCTTGAGGGGTGATTAATTCAGGAAATCATGAATTTTTTTTGTATACGACTATCAAACGTCGACCAATGTCGCGACAACGATACATAATTTTTCATGGGAATCTATGTATACGCGAAAGAAATTTCTTTAAACTCGAAAATCCTGTCTTACCTAGCATTGAGATCTTCGAGCTTCGCCAGAAGTGCGTGGGAAACGATGACGCTGCTGGAGGCGAAGACGCTCGCCTGGTCGTTCGCATCCTCGATGTTTCTCTGGATGGGACCGAGCCGTTCACCGAACTTTTGCAACTGTTCCAACATCTCCGTCGCCTCGGAAGCGTCGCTCGGACTTTGCCAACCGCTCTGGATGGCCTCGGCTGCGGCCATCCTCGAAGAAAGATCCTCGAGAGATTTTTGGAAGACGCACATTTTCTGGAAGCACAGGTGAACCCCGATTATCAATCCGCTCCTCGCCCAAACGCTGTTGTTAAAAAATTATGATCGTCCCCGCAGAAATAATTTAACAAACAAAATCGTTTGGTCGACTGCATGTGGTTCACTTTAGAAACCGTTTTGGCTGGGTGAACCGAATATTACTCGTTTGCTTCGATCGACTGAAATGTTTTTCTTGGATTGTTTCGTTGGTCTTAGAAAATATTTTTGTTAAATGTCCCGGATTACTTTAATACGTGGACTTTAATGTAGGAGGACGTCCTTTCTTGTCGGGAATCCGGAAGCGAGGTCGAAAGACCCCCAGGGTTATTTTAACATTCTCTGGGCTGGCATCGGTATTAAAAAAGTTGCGCCGAGGGAAGTTCGAAACTCGGGTTTCGTATCCGCAGAGCCATCTTGGCGATACGAGTTACGATGGCGAGCCGGACATTCCTCGGGAGGATCTTTTCCTAGCTAGGCTTTAATCGGTACGTCGTAACGAGATTTACAGGCCGTAATATCCGTGGTAGCGACGGTGCAATCGGGTCTCGGACGCATTTGCATAATGACGGCCTTGTCGTCTACCGATATAACGAACGCTGGACGCGCACTAGGCGAGCCCCATGCGACGAGAAAGTACGCCGATTAATTGCCATCGAATCTGGACTCGCTTGAAAAATCCACGTGGAATTAACGGAGACAAATGTCGGCAGGAGACATCGACGCCATCCTCGATTACGCTCCTGGAGACGCCATGGAATTATCCGTCCAGGTAGACGCTCATGATTAGTTAGAGCGAAAGTTATGGATCCAGGTTGATTGCGAAATTCCCCTGTTCTTCTGATCGTTTGTTTACAATTTCGGTCACACTTAGTTACTATACACCCTGCGGTTCGTATCATTTATTGAAACCACGAGGTCCTTGGAACGTTGACTGATTTTCCAAGGATTATTAAGTTTTCTTTCGGAATCATCTAGGGGATCGGATTCTTCCGACATCTTGCGGTTCGAATTTGAATCGGTAATCGGAGACAAGAAACGTCTAGATTGAGCTAATCTACCACGTAACCGAGGATTATTAACTTTTCCTTCAGGGTCCTTCCTTGCAACTTGTGGTTCGAACTCGAACTGAAAACCAGGGACGAAAACCGTCCACGCGGAGAGGAACTTCCCTGCAACCAAGGGCCAATAATTGTTTCCCCGGCGTCCTTTAACCGACGAGGTCCTTCCTGCATCTCGGAGCTCGAATTCGAGGCTGATAAGAGGCGCCCGATCGCATCCAGCGAGGTCGAGGGGGCGATTAAGGCTAACTCGGGCACTCGTTCCACTCTTCCAGGGATCCTTCGAGGAATTCGCCGAGTTAATTGCCCGGCGCCATCGAATATCGTCCGTGGCGAGTTCAGGCCGATCCAGAGATCGCCCATCTGCAGGATCGCCATTCCTCGACGTGAACTTTCTCAAAGGAGTCCTTCCCTTCGCTCCCAACTGGGTGTTTCTTGCGCATCCTTGTTCCAGGGACCTCGCAGATCCAGGGTGTCGAGGATTAGCGGGGATAGCGGCCGCTCGTTGGCCAGTTCGCGGTTCTTTCGAGTCCTGCACAATCCGCAGGAGACTCCTCGTTACCGTCAAGTAAGGACTTACTTGCTCGGTAACGAGGTATAACGTATGGTCGCGTGTCCTAGGTCTCCGCGTGTATGATTCATTCCCGATCCCGACGTCCCGCCAGGTCTTCCAGGAAAGTCCCACCTGGAGCGAGTCCTTGCATACCGCCAGGATCGCTCTGCTCTTATTATCCGGTTCGAAAACCTGGTCGGGTTTCTGCCCAGCGAGAGCCTGCCAAAGGATTACGCTCTTCGGTGCTGCCGATAGCGACAGCCTCGTACGCAGTTAAAAATCTTTCCTTGTTTCGAACTCTTCCGAAAACAAATGTATACGAAACCAGAAATGCCGGTACCCGAAATGAAAACTGGACCAATGTACCCTGAATTTCGAAAAGCTGAATTTCTACTCGAGATTTCGGCCGAAAGTATTCAACATTAATAATTATGTTTTGAGTGAACAAAATGTTTCCTCGGTTCAAAGTCTTTCTCAGGGTAGAAGTTGGTGAAACAAAATGGCGTCGCCTCTTCGAGATCTTCCGAAACCTCCGAAATGACCTAACCTCGATACGGCGGGAATATGTTCCGACACGTGAGTACCGTTAATTATTCCAGCTCGGTACTCGAGTCATAAGCGCCGTAAACGTTTTCCTCTCCGAGTATCTCCCAGGAACGCAATGCAAGGTAGGAAACTGGCTTTCGGCGCCGAAGTCAGAGAAATAGTTTTCCGTTTCCTCCCGGGCTTTTTGCTCGGCGAGTCTTCCTCCACCCGGTAAGAACTTTTAAACGAATTTAAATTGCTCGAGACTGCGAGGTCCGGGTTTACGATTTTCCTTTTTCTCTTTTAGGAAGAAGCAAATCGTTGAGTACTTCGTCCTTGTAAGGATCTTCGTAAGAGTTCGTCTTTAGAAGTCTTTATCGAGAGATGTCGGCTCGCGAAGATCCTTATCAAAGGATGCAAGCTCTTCGGGATCTGCGATGTTCCTTTGAGCAGTTGGACGCGATTCGAAGTGGCAGTTGTGGCTTGTCTAGATGGCAGATCCAGTGATAAGTCGGGAAAGGGTTCAAAGCGAGTGCTGACCGATTCGATTGCTCAAACGAGTCGAGTGCGGTGGTCAAGTTGGATGCTTCTAGGTCAATCCGTGGTGTGGGATTGCTCAACGTGTACGGTTGAGGAAATCGCGTACGCATGTACCTACATACGCCCATGCACGTTGTCCGTACATGCCACGTACCGATGTACGTACATCATATTTTTGCGCCACTCCGTATGACTGGATACTCCCCAGGGAAGAATAAATTATAAAAAGAAATGATACAAACGGGACACGTACGCTCATACATATTTTTTTTAATATTAATTAATGTCGCATCAACCACTCTGGTCATTAACTTTGCATCGCCGAGTTAAATATATCGCGTACGTGTGTATGTCACGGTGATAAAGTTTTACAACTCATGTCTTTCAAGAATTTTACGCTGAAACGTACTCTGCGGAGTGTACTTTCAGAATGTTCATCTTACATGAAACGCAATTGGGGTTTTTAAGCGTTACTGAATTTTTCTTTTTAGAATTCCGCAAAAGTTGCGATAAACGCGGTAATCGCGTTGCGGAGCCGCGATAAGTGCGGAAACTCTCGCCGATTAGGCTCGACGAATTCCTCGCGATTTCGGAAATCGCGGGTGAATTCCCCTCGCGAATTCGGGGAAGCTCCGCGGCGGTGTCGCGGCTTCCGAAAGTTCCGCACGGCTCGCAGGAATTCCTCGGAGTGTGATAGCACCGCCTAAAAATAGCTCGGCGAGACTCGGGAGGCCTTTTTTTTCTTCTCCCGACGAACGAGAAAGGATAAAGGTCCCTACCATACGATCCGCGCACGAGAGAAAAAAGGACAGTCGGTACGACTACAATTGTGATAACCGTATCCACGCTGCTGGCCATGGGACAACCCTGACAGGAGTTTGCGGCATAGTATAAAGAAGATTGCAACAAACTGGCAGATAACATAAAATCTAAACGCAGAATTTACTCAAATTCATATAAATTCCGAATTTACAATGAAATGGTTAAATGATGAGAAAATTAATATTTTCAAGCTTCCCGCCATGTCGGTTTTCTCTCGGCTTGGAAAAAAGCAAATTGGGGTGCAGCGGGCTAATTCGCGCAGCGCTGCAGAGGAGTCGTCGGGAGGCGCCTTGGGGAAAAAAACCGTCGATGTACGTGCTCCCGTAAACATTTAGATTTCCCGTGGCGGAGGTTAAATATTACATCCTCGGACTAGCAGACAAAGAGGGCCGCTCCGAGAGAGGTGACTAAGCGGCAATATTATGGCGCCTCGCCGTTGGCACTCCGCCAGGTGCATCTATTATAAGTCTGGGTCTGTAACCCGCCAAAGTATCCTAGACCTTAACCTCGCCTGCGAGAGCGATAGGTTTTACTCTTATCGGTTCCCAATTGACTTTCGATCGGTTCTTTGCATTATTCCGAACCGATCCCCCGAAAGCCCCAAGGCTGGAAAAAGTCGAGCGCGTTTCTCGATCCGGGGTAGACTTAACCCTTTGAGTTCGAAATCCTTTCGACATATGGGCGAAATTCATCGATGCGTGCAGGCAACATTGGACCAAACGTCGGACACCTTTAGTAGTCAAAGGGTTAATAATGTATGCGTAAGGCTTTCTAGGATCGTTGGCAGATAAAATAAACAATTATCAGGGTACTTCTCCATGACGATTACAAATTCCCCCGCTAGAAATGAACGCATAAATAATTCGTGTCCTTAATTCCTTGATTTGACATACACGCGATATCATCTTTTAAATCGCGATGCATGAATCAATTAAGCGATATCGGTGTGACTTACGATTAAAAGGTGATTTCTTTCAATTTATATAAAATTTATAACAATCCGAGCATTCCTCCATGCTGTAAATAATAAACGTAACTAATTCCTCCATACTGCAAATAATAAACGTAAAAGTAAATAAATAATAAACGTCTCCAATTCTTCGATTCAAGGTGCACGAGATTTCATTTCTTAAATCGTGATACGCGAATTGACGGTACGTCATTTTGCAACTTTCGCGACGACGTTATCACTGGCGCGAATAGGTCGATCTTATCGTTGGACGGTGTCTCGATCCGGGGAATATCGAACTCCTGATTAGGCCGGGTAAGTGGCGGGGCAATCGATGCCCGATGGAGGCGATCGATCGACTCGCACATTTCGATAGGCGCGCGTACACGTGTGGGAGCGAGTCGGCGTGAGTGCACGAGTGTATAAAATGCACGGTAGCCAAGGCTAGGGTACGTGGAACGAATTTTCAGGCAGGCCGAGGTTAATGCCTCCTGATCACCGATTCACCGATCCTTCGACGTATTCCGGCTCTCTGCAATTACCGTATTTA